TTATGTTCATTATTTGAGTTGATTGAACTAAACATATCTAGGATTGATTTTCTATCATCCTCTTTAGCACTTGTAGTAACCAAATCTTTTGATGCAATTATGCCAAAAATTATTACGTTGTTTTCCCTTTTCTCTCTTTTTTTTGTTTTGGCAGCAATAGCATTCATAATATACAACTACTCAACATTTGCCCAAGATGTTGAGGTTGGCGCGCTTGGAGACTTAATATTTTCTAAGGCTTTAATTCTTTCTAACAAAAGTGAATTGCAATTTTTTAGCTCATTAATTGTCTTGTTTAATGCTCCAATTTTTTTTTCTTGCTTGGCTTTATAAGTACTGAACTCAGTTGAATGAACATTTACCATTATTATTTGCTTTAACTATATTAAACCTTTTTTACTTAAAATAAATTTGTTGATAAAATCATACGCAAAAACACGTCTTGTCACTTTAAAAGCGGAAGTGAAAAAGAAGATTCAGATATTTATGTAAAATTTATGCAACAAAATGGAGTAAATTTAAATGGCCCAAGCAAAGAGACAAATGTTTTAGCAAAAGTAAATACTCTGCTTGCACAATGTCAATCAGCAACAGCTATAAAATTTTTGAGTAAGAATTAGAAGAAATATCATTAAATTTTGAAATGTTCAACAAAAACATTTTATTTTGAGAACACTGTAACTTTGAGAACAAGAATCTTATATTTTACATTCTTTTAATTGAGATTTATTTTTTAAGTTTCAAATTTATTGGAAAAATATAAGCATTTATGTATGGATACCTTTATTGTTATATTAATTTTTAAATTCCTCGTTTAAAAAAAAAAAATAAACAAATTTTCACATTAAATTTTTTTTTTTTTTTATTAAAATATTTTTTTTAATTTTTTATTTCAACATCTTTGCTTCCAAGGCTGCAATCAACCATTATAAGAGTTGGAAGTTACTGGAAGAGAAAAGACGAAGTTTATATAGCAAGATAACGATTGGCAGATGACTTGAAAGATTGCAAATTATATGAATAAGGAAAGCAAGATGAAGGAAGCGAATTCCGAGGAACTGTTTAAGAAAAAAAACTAGACAAATAAGAATTTTTGGAGCATTTAGGAATAGTCACAGTAAGAGAATGAGACTTAATTAAATGACAAGTATTACGAGAATGAATTTTAGTAAATGGGACAAGAGACGCTAGATATGTGCCCATTATAGTATTTGTAGAAAACAAAAAGTGAAGTAAAATTACAATGATGTAATAATGTGAGGTGAGAATATCTGGAAAATCGTTAATGTATTAAAAAGAGTATAGGGCTAAGGATAGAACATTAAGGAACCCCTGAAGTTACAGAAAATGAAAAAGAGTGCTGTTCATCAAGGACAACTTTTATACTACGATTGGTGAAGAAGAATTCAATAATCTTAAAGATGTTTCCAGATACATCGTAAGAAGAAAGCTTATGGAGAAGACCAGCATGCCAAACTTTATCAAAAACTTTAGAAATGTCAAGTACAATAGCCTTAACCTCTGCACCTCTATCTAATGCACGATAAAACCTATTGGTTATTACTGTTAGCAAACCAGCTGTAGAACAAGAAGATTGAAATCCATATTGATGATCAGAAAGTAAGTTATTAGTTTCAAGATAAAAGATTAAGTGCTTAGTAATTAAAGACTCAAAAACCTAGCTCATGATAGGAAGGAGACTAATGTGACAGTAGTTAGACGAATCAGATCGGTCTCCAGAATTTTTGAAATTGGAATAACAGATGCCACTTTCCAGCAGGCTGGAAAACAAGACTCTGATAAGCACTTGTTCAATAGTTTTGAAAGTATAGACAACAGTTCCAGAGAACACTTCTGCAAGACTATAACAGGTATGTTGTCCAAACCACAAGCTGTAGAAAAGTCTAAGCAGGAAATCACTTTAGATACAGAAGCTGGAGTGATACGAATGTCAAGCAATCAATCAACCTGTTTGACGGCTATATCAGGTAGAACGCAACTAGTGGAATCAAGTGATGATATTGATGAAAACAGACAATTCAGCTTTGTCTTTAGGTGAGGTGACAAAATCTGAACCGTACAAGAGAGGTGTAATAATAGATTTGCCTTTATTATTGATACTATTAAAGATTCTCCAGAAGTCACAAGAGCCTAAATTTTGAGATAAAATACAAGATTTTATGGCCTGAGAATAGCTTTGGTGTTAAACAAAACCTTTTTACACTGGTTTCTATAAACAGACATCTGTGTTCAGAAAAATTATTTTGCTGATAGATATGGAAGTAATGGTTTGGATTTAAAATTGCAGCAGCAAAATGTGAGGTAAATCAAGGAGAAGAGTGAGGCTTAACTTAGAATTGGAGAGAGGGAATAAAAGATTCCTTGCCAGCATGAATCCAAGAAGTTATATAAGAAGCACATTTATCAGCAGGAAGACGAAAGATTTCTACCCATGTGCCATCACAAAGAAAATCAAGGAAAGAGTCCCAGTGAGCTTTAAGGTAGTTGTAAGAGGTAGGATAATAAGGGGATTCTGATGATGAAGAAGATTGAGATAATAGTTCTAGAGAGATCAAACGTGATCAGAAGCACCTAAGGGTGAATGTGAGGAAACTAACTGACACTGAGCACTGACAAGGATCAGAAACAAGATATAAGTTGAGTAGAGAAGTTAAGTTATTCAGGTTGTCTGGAAAACAAGTTGGAAAGTTGACTATTTAAGTTAGAGATTGAGAAAGGCAAAAGTTGTGGGCCCTAACGTCTGCAGTCACTGTCACTAGAGCCAAGCCATTCAGTGTGAAGAGCATTAAAGTCACCAACAACAACAATATTGGCTGATGAAAAAAGAGAGAAGAATTGATCAATTAGATCAGAAATAACATCGAAAAGAGTGTAGTCTTGAAATAAAGGAAAGTGATATAGAACAAAGAGAAAGGCAATAGAGTGAAGTGGTACTAAATGAAAGTACATAAAAGAATAGTAAGTGGATTCAAACCTAGTTTATCGAAAATGGGTGAATTCTTACAAATGTAAATGCCCAGGCCAAGCATGTGATTATTGGACTATTTATGAATTAAAGAAAGATAACGATCAACACTAAGATCACAAGATGAGACAGCCGAACTCAAATTAGTCTCACAAAGAGCAAGTAGGTCTGGTGAACTTTGTAAGAAATATGACTCAAAAGAAGAAAAGTTATTTCAAAAACTACAAATATTAGTGAATGATTGGTTTAGAGAATTTGGTGATGACAATGGTTTTTTGTGTTTTACAGTTTTTGTTACTTTATTCATTTTTAAATTTGTTAAAGAACTTGACTCAAGGCATAGATTATACTCCGTACACTATCCAACAGTCCAAGTAATTGCCTTATTACTATTAATAAACTAAAGGGCTCCAAATATGGCCTCGATAAAGCACACCAAAAGTACAAACAGGGACACCATCCATGCGCAACATGGCACTGTTAATGCTCTGATATCTTTCAGCTGTTAATGGAATCAGCCTCTCTGAGAGCTGCCACAAAGTTCAGTAAACCTGACTACCAGCCAGCCTCAGAACTAGAAAATTGAGTTTTAGAGCTGTATCTTCATTAGGAGATAATAGAATGAGTTGCCTAGTCATAAAAAGGCACAAGCAAAACCCATGGATTGAGTTATGAGAATCCAGCATTCAACATCCTAAACTGGAAACAATTTATTATAAATACACTGTGCCTGCCTAATAGTTAAATAAGCGGTGCGAGGAGAATCTGTTTACCCCTTACGCTCTTGCCTAGGAGGCTTTCTACAAGACAGTAGGCGGATACGTTTAACATCAGCCCAAGATGAGTATTTTCATTAAACACTATCTCTAGTCTTTATTTAACCAAGAGCAATGGGTGTTTTAAGTCAAAGTTGGCTTCTCCTAGCTTTTGCCTAAAAAAGCGTATACTACAAGGCAGCAGGACATGAAGCAAGTTGTACATGGTTGCATGTTGCCAGAAGCAGGATAACCTGACTTGATGTCAGTTCATTCGGTTCATTCATGGGTTTTAAACTATATAAAAACTCAAAATAACTGATTTTGAATTCCAGAATCCTATTTTGATAGAAAGTTTAATTTCAGATATCTCAGCAGCTACAAGAT